CCTCCCCGGCGGGGTCCCGGCGCGAGGACGCGGAGGGGCGTCCGCCCCGGCGACCCCTGCCCGCCCGCGAGCTCCTCCACTGCGGCCATCGGCGCGACTCGCGGCCGCCTAGCACGCAGCCCCGGCGCGACGTCACCCCGCGCGGTCCACTTGCTCCCAGCCCGCACCGCCTTTCCACCTCTTCCGCTCTGCCGGCATTCTCGGGTCTGCGCCAGCCTGAAGGTTCTGGCCACGCCCGTGACCCTGCTCCTGCCCACCCGCGTCTGGTTTAGCCGCTGGCGACAGCGGGGCGGCATTCGCCCTGGCAGTCCGCAGGACCCTCTATCCCTCCCTTGGTTTTCAGCAGCGTGCTTGGGGTTTTGATTGCCTGCAGTAATTCACGCAGTAGGTATGTTGCAAAACCCATCCGCACGCGCAGCGGTGGTGTTCTGCGCTCTTCCACCCCAGTATCGTTTTCTAACTCCCAGGCAGCTGCATCCGGTTCCCTGCCTCAGGTAACAGCCCCACGAGCTTCCCCTACCCCAAAGAGCTGTCGCCTCATGTCCCCAGCAACTTCACCTTGAAGTCCTCTGAAGACTCCAGTGCGGCTTGTGGGTGTCCTTGGTGGTTCCCAGAACCAATAGGACACCCAACAAAGCGCTGTCCCGTGTGAGCTACACTGTCCATCTTTTTATTGGGGGGGGGGAGATGTAGTTTTGGGCTTTGTGATGTCACAGAGCCATTTCAGCATCCTATTTTGAGGTGGGTTTAATTAGTGATTTTGAGACATCCTGAGACTGCAATCTCCCCAAATCCTATGGCAGATACTGTTAGCGGAAGGCCCGTCCGCCGTTTTCCTTGAGGGAGTTTCGCTGGCGGCAAGGCTTACTGCTCTAGACCCCTCCTCACTCGGGCAGGCCTGTCCTAGGTGGGGGCGTTCCTGCTCTTCGCGGGCCTCTCGCCTCATGAGTATCTGCACAACGTCAAGACTCCTGCCAGGTGTTCATAACCGGTGTTTTCTGCACATTTCAGAAAGACTTGGTCAAGTTTGTGAATAAATCCAGCTTGAACACTGAGATTGCCTTGAATGTATAGATTTGAGGAAAATAAACTTGTTGGTACATCCATGAACATAGTATCTCTCTCCCTTACTACATGTTTGTATCTTGTAATTAGAAGGCTCTCTCCATAAAGCTTACTAGTTTCTTGGATTATTTCCTAGATGCGCCACAGTTCTGTATGTGGCATCCTGTTTTCTGTTGGGCATTTTAGCTGGCTATCCTGGCACCAAGAGACACTCCTCTCCAGAGATGCCCGGGCAGCACACCGGGTTTCAGAGTTGCTCTTGTTCTGTACAGTGCCGTGCTCTCGAGCAGCACCTGGGACACCAGTGTTTGGCGGGTGTCAACGAAGGCGTACATGTAGGCCCTATGGCAGCCGCGGTCCTGCCAAAGGCAGCAGCAGCACCTGACCAAGTGGATGCCTGCCACAGCCCTCACCACCCCATCGCACCAGCCCCTCAATGCCTCGGCAGCCAAGTGGGCACCCAGCTGGGCTGCGCAGGTGTAGCCCCTGTCCATGCTAGAATGTATGGAGGGTAGCGTGGGGCCTGTGCCTGGGGTCTTCACCCAGGGCACCTAGCCTGGAGGGGGCTCTTCCCCAGTCCTGTCCTAGGTAGGGCGGAACCAGGAGAGCAGCTCCTCCTTTCTCCTAGGGATGCACAAGGTGTGGCTTGGACCAGGACCCTGACTGGAGAATAGCACAGAACTTCAGCGCACATCTCCTACATGGGGGAGCAGACCTCAGCGCTCATGTCCATGAAGGCAAAAGGGCAGCAGCGTAATAAGCCCATGTCCTTCCAGCCCCGAGGGACAGCCTCTGTGGAGACACAGACTGAACTGATGCGCTCCCAGAGGCCAACTGGCAACACGTGGGGATCACTCTGACTGCCCTGCCGAGAACCGAGGCTTGAACACAGGGCCTCTGCCCTGAGCTGCCTTCTCAGCATTTGTGATCCTCCTGCCTCCCTCTGACACGAGCACGGGGATTTGATTATTTACAGGAACTAAAAACAATCTACACAAAATGCTTGTTACCATGTTTAGCCTCACGGTTTCACAAATTACAACAAATCATGTTCTCAGCTCATGGGCAGATTCTGCCTCAGAAAGAGGTGCACTGTGTGGTCAAGGCAGGTGGGCTGTGCCACATCACACCACCCACTCCATCATGGCCTCAGTGGCACGGGGCTGTCCACTCTCTCGCTGGTTCTGGCCTCCCTGGGAACTGGAACCACCACCTATTGCCCCGACACACAGCAGGGTGTCGGTGGTGAGCAGAACTTCCCCCGTAAGGTTTCTGCATCAGGCCTGTCCCCTGTCGTACTCTTGGCCACAGCTTGTCACCTGTTTTTGTGCACCTGTGGCCACGGGGTATGGGAACGTATAGCGCCTACAACTCCCATCTTCCTGTTCCGCACTGGGGTGCGAGTCCATGGGGGAATGAAACAGAAACATGAGCTCAAGGAAAAGGAGGCGCTGCTGCCTGTGGCTGTGGAGGGCAGACTGCTGGTGTCCTTCAGTGGGTGACAGTGCCATCCACTGTTAGCACATTTGCATTTCTGTAGAGCTGCGACAGCAGCTGTGCAACTGTTCTTAGGATGGCAAACCATGGCTAGGAATGACATCAGTAGCTTAAAACAACGTAAGACACTTTCAGGTAACTGACAAGCAAGTGAGGAGCGCTTCCAGGCCTCTCCAGGGGATCTCCAAACACCAGTGTCCAGCACTTCTGTGCTGGCCACACCTGACTGCAGGAAGGCTGCCCTTGGTCTCCCGGGGGCTATGCTGGTCTGTGCTCCTGTCTACTACTGTGCTGCCCAGGGTCTCACTGCCCCTCCCCTCTGTCACCCAGGGCGCGACTGCTCTCCCCTGCCCATGACACACACGAGCACCTGGGTGTCCCTGGCTGGGATGCCCATGAGCTCTGCCTGCAGAACCCACTGCTCCACTGCTCTCACCGCGGTGTCTCCTGATGGTGGGGGCCACCCCCCATCTTGCCTCTCTGCCTAGTAGATCCAGGTCATGGAGTCAGAGCAGTTGTGGGCAAAGCGCAGGCTGTCTGGCTATTTCTGGGTGACTCCTGAGGTGGGAGGGGATGCGTGTGTGTGGCAGGTGTGAGGTGCACAGGCCTGCTCACTGGAAGGGCAGTGATGGGGAACCAGGATCGAGCCTTGTATGCCAGTCCTGGCTCCCCAGCTAGGACCTCCTGGTCACCTTCTGGTGCCAGGCCAGGCCCTGCTCCTCCTCTCACTTGCTCACAACAGCTAAGGTAGGTGGCAGTTCTGTCCCTCACTTCGATAGGGTAGAGAAGAGGGAGAAAAAAGCATAGCACAGCAAGGGCCAAGGTGAGAACTGTAGCTTCTGGGATAGGAGGAACCAGTGGGGGCCGAGAGTCCTGCCCATGTGGAGACACCTGTGGCCCTGGAGTGTGGTGCCGCGCTGCTCTAGTGCACGTGGATGAGGTACTCCTACAAGGCTGTTGGCCACCTCAGCGGGTACCTTGCCCAATCTGGTCTCCAGGAGGTCTGTGAGGCTTGTACTGGTCTCCTGGCCTAAGTGCTCCACGTGGTCATAGCTCGTCCCTGTGGGAGGGCAGGATGGGAGGGGTATAAGCTTGCAAGACAGGACTCTTCCCGGGGTGCGTACCAGTCCCTGCAGGAACCCGCCTATGCCTCTGGGGCTTAGGTGTGGGGTTCCCTCAGTCCTGGGGTTGGGGAATTCTCATCAGGAATCTCCCCATTTGCTCCCACAGTCTAGGGTGCCTGGGCCCTGCTCCTTCCTAGATGCTGTGAAGGAGCAAGGGCTGCACTTTAGGCCACCTTCCATTGTGGAGAGGTGGAGGTGACCATGCAGAGCTGGGGCTTGCAACACTTCACTTCTTGCTCTGGGCAGTCCGGTACAGCTCCCCTACAAGCCCAGCCAACCCTATCAGTGTGCACAGGGACAGGCCAGCTCTTTGCTAAAGGGGGAAAGCAGGGACCTAGCTGCAGTGTTCCTTCCAGATGCATTGGGACCAGGCTGGGCCTGCCCCGGTACAGCTAAGCATGCTGCACAATGAAAGTGTGGCTCAGAATGGCACAGAGGGTAGTGGGGTGTACAGGCCACATGCAACCCTGATCCCTGGCATGGATGTACTCTTAGATGAAAAAGCTAGGGTTACTTTACTGCTTATTAAGGGGCAGGTAGCAGCCATGGGTACCCAAAGGCAGGAAGAAGCTGTGTGAACCGGTTAGTGGCAGGGGCAGGAACAGCCCAGACAGCTCAGTGTCTCCTGCATGCACCAATTCATGAAACAAGGTGGCTGTAGGAGCTGTGGAACAGGAAACAGGAACATAGCTGGCAAGCCCCAGGGGTCCCCCGCATGTCAGCTGCTGTGTCAGGGGAGCCTAACTCTTCTGTCGCACTGATTCTGGAGGGCACACGGTCTACCCACAGCTGTAAGGAGGAAGAGGCATCTGGAAGCATCTGGCTCCCACAGCAGGCTGCACTCTTCCCTGTGGGGTGTCTCAAGGAGCACTGTGTTCATCTCTAGGGGGCCTGGGGAGGGTGACACCAACCCCAAATGTCCAGGAGACAGTGACCACTGTGGCTGCATAGGCATGGGTTTGTAGGTCTTGGGTGGAAGGGCCCCCGCAGCCAGCCACTCACTTTTGCAGAGCCTGTAGTTCAGGAGGCAGATCGCACCCCGTGTAAACGCCATTTGTAATGCTGTATTCCAGCAAAGCACCAAAGCAGGGGTCCTGTGAGAAATACAAAAGCCCACCATCCGGTGTGGAGCTGTGTGTCTCCGGTACGGTGTGCACATGCCACCCGACCCCGGCCAACCTCCCGGCCCGCAGACCCACCCTGACAAGCACATGCGGGTTCCCCAGCACAATGAGCAGGGCTTTGGGTCTGGTGATCGCGACGTTGAATCTCTTCGAGTTGGACAAGAATCCCAAAAAATATCGATCATCTTCAAATCTATCTTCACTTGAACGTACCTGAACAACAAAAGACAAATACAAATTTTTAAAGTTTTTTCCCCCCATAATTTTACTGATAAACAAATAGCAATGAGACAGTTTCAAATCAAATTGGTAGGACAGTTTCAATAATTAACACAATGCATACATTCTTCCTAGTGGTTAATTGCTGTACACGATGCGGACTTGATATCCTATCTACAAACACCGTTAGAACAAATCACTCTATTCACTAAGAGAATGTAACTATATATCTATCCTAACCACTTTGAATACACATTAAGTTTTTTTTGTTTTGTTTTGTTTTGCATGAAAAAAGTTGATACTTGAAAATATTTAGAAAGGTTAAGTCACAGTAGGACCCCATTTCTGGTTAACAAGTGGGGATGGGTAGATCTTACTACCAATCTATCCAGGGACTGGGAGACCCCCAACGGCTAACAGGGTCTCTGGGAGGTGGGGCTCCAAGTGGTTATTTTCTTTTTGGTATCTAAATTTTCTAATTTATCTGCAATTCACATGTACTGTTCAAGAATTTAAAAATAAAGAGTGGAGTTTTCAGAGTTGCTGTGTGGTGGTGTGAAAGCCGTGGGGCTGGGCAGGCCCTTTCTGACCCGCATGTGGCTCTCTGGGCATCGGCTACCTCCTTCTTGGCACTACCCTCCTCCACACACGCATCATTTCTTCCTGGGTCCTTTCTCGCCACTTGCTTCTCTGTTGGGGTTTGTGTGGAGAGCGTCCCACGGTCACTGCTTTTGGCAGCGCCACCCTAGGACCTCCCTGGTGCTTCAGGCCCGCCAGTCCACCCCAGCATGCGCACCACTAGAGACCGTCACTCGCACAGGTGCAGGGACTCCCGCAGGGGCCTACCGTGGAGATGATGATCACCAGGTGTTCCTGGCCCTGAAACTCCTCCACGGACCCAACCTTTATGTCCATCAAATCGACATTGCGCAGGAGAATTTTTATTTTTTCTACCTTTAAAACAGGTTAAAAGAACACAGAACAGGTTAAAACATTAAAGATAACATACAAACTTCATCTGTTTATCTGTCACAACATAAATTAAACATCAACCAGTGTGCACCGCTGCATTCAAGTCTGTATCACAGAGCTCCAAGCGTGGCCGCCTGAGATGAGACGCGCTGCCCCCAAGGCTGACGAAACACAAGGGGAGAAGGAGCAGCAGTCCCTCCTCAGCTCATGCTCAGTGCCAGGTGGACTGACGTTTCCAGGGTAAGCTGGGTGTGGTGCAGGGCTTGTAGCACCAGCCATGTGCGAGGCTGAGGCAGGAGGGATGCCTGAGTTTAGGAGTTTCAGGCCAGCTTGGACAACCTAACAGACTTTGTCGCAAAGGAACTAAAAAAAAACAAAAGAAAAATCTGGGTACTACAATGCATACCTATAATCCAGCACTGTGGGAGGCAGAGGCAGGAGGATTCCATGCTTTGAATTCTACTTAGGGCTGGGGATATAGCTCAGTGGAATAAGCACTTCCCTGAATTCTACTTAGGCAATTGAGCAAGGCTCTGACTCATTAAAAAAAAAATGCAGGCATATAGCTCAGCGCAAAGGGCCTGGGCTCAGTGCACAGCACTGCAACAAGGAAACAAAAACACCCATGCATACTCAAAGTGAATGCCTTTAATCCCTGACGCCACATGCTGTGCTGGCCCTGTCCCTGGACATGCAGAGCAACCAAGTGTGGGCGTGGTGGTGCATGCCTGTAATCCCAGCACTGGGGAGGCTGAAAACAGGAGGATCGCTATTAAGTCCGAGCTGCACAGTGAGACCCTGTACTAAATACATTTAAAAAAAGTAAACGTCATTTACTCTAAAATATATGTATATGTAAGATTTCCAGAAGGGAATTTGGGAAAATTCTTGGTGATCTTAAGTTAGAGAAGGACTTCTTAGATAAAAATATTGCAAACCACAGTGCAGTTACTTAGAGGTAGGCCTGCCTTGTCATGGCTCAGTTCAGACCTGACTCCACAGCACTGCGACAGGGACCCTCGTGCGTCAGCCCTGTACTTCCAGCTCCGATCTTTTCTCTGGCTGGTGAGATCCAGGACAGTACGCTTGTAGTTCTAGGCAGCAACAGGGCTTCTGAGCAGTCAGCCACAGCTGGCCCCCCACATCTGTGAGCTCCACAGCCACAGACTCAAGGATCAAACTGCTTGTAGCCCATGATGGCGGCACCTTACTGAACATGCAGACGCTTTTCTCATCGCTCTCCCCAAACAGTATGTGAAACGGCCTCCTGCCCTGCACCTGTACTGTATTAGGGCTTGTAAGTACTCTAGAGATGAGGTGCAGTGCAGAGACCATGTGCACAGCTTACACGTGCTAAGGGCCTTGAGCATCTGCAGACTGGTGCTCACGGGCATTCCGGAACCAGCCCCAGGGGACACGGATGACAGCTGCGTGATGTGGCTAAGCCACAACGTCAGGAGTTGGCAGCACTAAGTGCCTTATCTGCTTATAGTGGGTTTCCACGATGCAAGCTCAGGAAGGCTAAGGAGCAGCTGTGTACATTGGCTATAATCAAATTTAAAAATTTAACAACAAAAAATATCTCTGAAAATCACCACAGGCCTGAGAACCACAATACATACTGGACGACCACAAACTACTGAAGACACTGGAGAACAGCCACAGGGGTCCCTAGGTCTAAGCCAGCAACTTAAGGAAATAGGGAAAGAACAGCAGCAAAAGGTTCAGGCCACGAAGATCTCAAGGTAGGTTTCAAATCTACCTGCAAGGTCCCCCTGCCGGGCAGTGGGAATTCTCAGGGGTCGATTCAGCCTGTGAAGGTCCACGTCACTCGGCGATGCTGACCCTGAGTGCTGCCTCCAGCATCCCCTGCATAACCTACACATGGTCTGAGGAAGGGTTCGAGTGATGAGAAATGCGAGCCGAAGACGGCCACCACCAAGGTGCCAGAGTACACAGGTGGCCCTGACTTGCTGCCCACAGACCAGCTACAGCGGGCACGGGGTGGTGATGACTCCTGCTCCATGTGTAGTCTGCAAACCAAGGCAGAATTGTCCTAGACTATGAAGGCAACAGATCCCAGCATGACATCAGACAATGGGAAAGGGCCCAGAGGGCCCCAGCTCGACTTCTGCCACAGCATCCCGCATGCTGTCTTCAGCATCAAAGCCTGGAGAGCCAAAGGGCACTCCCAAGGGGCCAGGTACACCTGTCAGGAGATGGGCCAGAGCTGAGCTGTGACACTGGGGGGGTCATCCTGGAGGTGGGTAGCAGAGTCAGGAGAAGCGGCTTCTGAGGCAGGTCTCAGCCCACCTGCCTGGCTATCTCACCACATGACAGCCTCACTTGTTTCAGGAGCTTGGAGGAACCTATGTGCTGGACTCTGTGTTGGATATGGGGATGAAAAATTGGTCGGCAGAGTCTTGGCCAATTCCCAAGAGAAGTCCTACTTGCATGGAGGGACACAAACAAATGAGCCAAGCAGGCGTGCAGTGACCAGGGTCAGTGTGGAAGTCTGAGGAGGCCGAGGGCCTGAGCTGAGCCATTATTCAGGAGGCAGGAGCATTTAGTTTGATCCTAGTCTGGGCGACTTAGGATGCTTCTCAAAATAAAAATACAGAAGGCTGAGGGATGTAAGTGGGAGAGCAACTGCCCAACATGTTCAAGTTCCTGGGGTAATCCCCACTCTGGGGGAGAAGCAGAGCAAGGGGGAGGAGGAGGGTATCAAACCCAAGAGTGTTTCCAGGTGTTAAATTTCATAGACTTCGAGGCTGCTATCCCAAGAATGTCCACAGAACTAAAGGAAGCCTATGGAAAGACTTGGGCAAGTATGAGCAGAACAGTGGTTCTCAGCAAAGACAGAGAGCATAGCGAAGGACTGGAGGGAACTCTGCTGAAGTCTGACGGCTGAGGGATGATCCTGGGAGGGCCAACAGCAGATTCCACATGGCAGAAGAAAAAGAGTGAGCGAGGCGGGCACAGTGGTGTACTCTGGTGACACCAGCACTTGGGAGGCGGGGCAGGAGGACTGACACAGGCTTGAGGTCAGGCTGGACTACATAGTGAATTCAAGGCCAGCCTGAGCTACACAGAGACCTTGTCTCAAAAGCCAAAACCAGAGGGGCCAGGGAGATAGCTTGACTACTGGTCTAAGTGCTTGACTGGAAAGTGCAAGGATCCAGGTTTGATCCCCAGAGCCACATGCCACACCGGCCACCCACCGAAACAGGGCATGGTGGTGCACCTGTAATCCCAGCTCTGGGGAAGCTGAGACAGAAGATCACTATGAGTCTGAGTGCGTAGTGAGATCCTGTATGAAATACATAAATAGATAAATAAATAAATAAATGAAATTTAAATTTTGAGAGAGGATCTCAGGAAGTCACCAAGCTGCTCACACTAAGGTTGAATTCTGGGGCTGAGGAGAGAGCTCAGAGTCTTAAGCGGCAAGCTCAAGGACCCAGATTGGATCTCTGGTACTGCATACAATGCTGGCCCCGTGCCAAGCTAGCTCCCGAGAATGGGCATGGTGGCGTGTGCCTATAATCCCAGTGCTGGGGAGGCTGAGGATCACTACGAGACCGAGTTGCATAGTGAGACCCTGTACCAAATAAATGAATGAAAGATTTAAAACACACACACACACACACACACACACACACACACACACACACACATATATATCTCCATCCAAAACTAACAAACAGAATGAGCTTGAAACAGACCAATAGGAATTCTCCAGACTGAGAAGAGGTGATAAAGACAAGGAGAATGTAGAGGTCTATGGGGTGATGTTAAGCTGCCAACCTGAGGAGAAGGGCCTCAGCAGGGAATGGGAAGAAAAAATGAGAACACTGACCCCCAAACTACCTGAGCTGGATGAAACACAGCGATCTACAGATCTACGACGCTCAACCAATCTCAAGTATGACCACACCAAAAGATCCTGAGCTGAGATCAAGGTAGACAGCTGGAGTCTGGGGTGAGCAGAATGGTTCGAGAGCAATGACTCCCTGCACAGAGTGCAGCCCCCACTTGAACTCGCTTTTGAACAGCAGCCAGGGTGGCCTGGCCCTCCAGGAGGTGGAAGGCATCCTCCAGGCAGACCGGAGGGAAGTGCTCAGCTGACAGGACTTCTTACATTTATGTCAAAATATGGGAAAGTAACAAGATAGGGTGGTCTCTTAGGAAAACTAAAACATGGACAATTCATAGCAGGCAGGCATGAAAATGTCTATTTTTGAAGATGGTGTCGCCAGCCGCATGGGACCAACCAGAGCAAGGACAAATGGGCCCCTGAGCAGACATGCACACAGCCTGGTCTGGCCAGCAGGAGGTGCACAAACACAGATGTGCTGCGGGCACTCCCCCTTGAGCCCTGGAGGCGCTAAGTGCCACCCACACAGTCCGGCTTCCCTGGGCCTCCTCCGTGAGCCCTGGTGTTTGCACACACACAGGCAAGAGCTCCACGAGCGATGCCATGTGTGTGGCAAGAAGGTCCTTTCAGGGTGGTGAACGTACAGGGTGGGCGTTCTGGTGATCCCAACACAGGGATCCTTACTGGACAGGGAAGTGTGACATGGAAAGAGCACTGTCCCCTTCGACGATGCCAATGGTGTCCAGGAATGGTGAGGCATGCCTGTAATCCCAACTCTGGGAGGCTGAGGCAGAAAGATCTTAAGTTGGAGTCCAGCCTGGGCAATTTAACATATTAGTAAGACTGTGTCAAAAGAACAATTTTTAAAAAAAATTTATGAATTTAGAACAGGGTCTACAGGGTGTACAGAGTCTCACTATGTAGATTGGATTTGTAGTGATTCTCCTGTTTTCAGTCTCCCACGGGCTCGGATTACAGGCACACGCCCCCATGCCCAGTCTCAACTGTTGACTCAACATGCGCCCCGGGCGGGGCCAGCATGGCACGCCAGGGATCAAGCCCCAGCTGCTGCAGTAGGCACTTTAGTCCACTGAGCTGTCTGGCCAGTCCTTCAAAAGTTGTTTTAAAAAAGGACTGGGGATGTAGCTCAATGTGAAGACCCTGGGTTCAACCCTGAATACCACGAAAGAAAAAAAGAAAAAGCACCCCCTCTCAAGAATACCAAAAGTGCCCCTTTTGAAAACTCATCAAAAATTGGGATTGGGGGGCCCGGGGAGATGGCTCAGTGGAAAAAGTGCTTCCCTGGCAAGCGCAAAGGCCTGAGTTCAATCCCCAGTTCCGCAAAAAAAAAAAAAATTGGGATTGGCAGTTTTTCCTATAAACACCAAGGCTATCCTATAGGTCCTTCCAGAAACCTGCACAAACACACACACACACACACACACACACACACACACACAGTGTTTTGCGACCACTCAGAAATGCACAAGGCATGCTGGGCTCTGGCTGTGGAAAGCAGGCAGCTGGCTCCAGCAGGGCATCCCTCAGATGGGATCCTGCTGCTTTAAAATCCTACTGCTGTTCAAAATGAGCTGGTTTCTGCTTTCCACAGGCCCCACACACCAAGGAAGCCAGGCTTCAGGGGTAGCGCAGAACAAGGAGAAACCCAAGTGGTCCTACCTGCTTCCGGTAGGGCGTGATGACACCTATGTCCCTGGCGGACACCTGGCTGGACACGCTGTGGGCTAGGAGGCAGCAGTAGCGCATAACCTGGACAGCCTCTGCTGGGTTGAACCACGATGGGCTGCGGCCTTCACGAGCCTCACTCCCCTGTTGAAGAGGAGAGAGCTTTACTTAGTGATGTTTACCAAGGGAGCTGAAACAGAACCTGGGAACAGTGAGTGTGACAGAAAAATCCCTACTCTCACAAAAACTTAAAGTCTAGCAGGGTAGTAATCACTAAATGAATATGAATCACCTCTGTATTAATGCTACAAAAGAGGACTGGTTGCATGAATCTATTGTTTGGGGACTGCTGCTGAGGCGGAAGGCCAGATAAGCACTCTTTTGTCCCTTTAGGATCAAACTTTCAATCCTCTTGCCTCAGGTTCCTGAGTATCTGGATTACAAGTGTGCACCAGCACACCTACCTGGTAGGACTTCCTGTGTAGAACATGTGAGGAGGAATGACCTGGTATGGAGCAGGCTGTGTTAGAGGGCGGGCATGCAGGGCTCAACACGGAATGGCTCACAGCTCTATAGGCAGAGGGAAAGCGCAAAGGCGCCTCAGCCCAGGGAGCCCGTGGGAACCTACAGCCTGGCCTGATAAGGAAGGAGCGGGCACTAAGTCAGGTCTGGAGCCTATAGCAAGGTACCCTTCCCACACCAGCTGCGGGGCCGTCAGCCAACCCCTTGTCTAGAGAAACCCTCACTCTCCTGGATCGTTCCTACTGGAGAATGGAGGGTTATTCTCATCTTGAGAAAACTTTCTCAAAGGATAATGGGAAGGTGGGTGTTGTAAAGCACACCTGTAACCTAGCACTCTGGGAAGCTGAGGCATAAAGACACAGTTTGTATTCTCTTCCACCAACCTGTATTTCTTTGTCAACCACATATTATTTTTATATGGTACACTTTATTTTTTCTAATTTTGTACTACATTTTGTAACACATTAACTCATTTTTAAAATGAACCTTATATTTACCCTTTTTTGGGGGAGGGGCAGAACCTCAGGCAAACACTTACTCAACTGAGCTATCTCTTTGGCCCCTTTAATTCACTTTTTAATAGAACACTCACAATACTTTTAGATTATCAGTTTCTCATGAAAAAGCTTTCAGTAACTTTTATTTAGACGATCACATATGCGGGTTAACTTGGGAAGAACTCCTATCTTTAGGACACCAGCACTCATCTTCCCCACTCCAGTTCTGAAGGATGGTCAGACACAAACCATGGCCACAGACCAAAAGGAAGGGCTGGGTGGGTGCTGTGACAGACGGCATTCACTAGAAATGAGCGCCCTGCTCCTTCCTGTTGTTACCTGACACAGTAAGTACCTGCCTGCCCAAGGCCTGACTTACCCTCACACCATGGAAGACGAGAGGGAACCCTTTCTTGGGGAGCTTCTCCCAGCCTAGCAGTAAAGTCACCACTTTGGGGTCTGCACAGACTTCAAGCTCCTTGTGATAGAACAGGCGGGAGGGCAGTGCCAGCAGGGCAGAATGGGACCGGTAGTTCTTTACCAGCTTTGTGACCTGCAGGGAAAGGACAGGTACAGGACACAGACCTCAGCTCCATCTCCTTCCTGGCAAGGAAGGATCTCTGTAGCCATGGGGCTCTCTGAGTGGCCACACGTCCACTGCTGCTCCAGTGTGCCCCTCCCTGGCCTGAGACCTGCTTCCAGAGCAAGCCCCTCTGATGACTGTCCATCCAATGGTCCCAGTGAGAGGAAGGCGGACACTGTGAGGAGGCAAGTGACAGGCTTGCGCCCTGCTCCTTCCTGGGTCCTGACCAGCTGAGCGTCTCACAGGGGCACAGACAGCTCTGGGGCCCCTGGGTGCTCCAGCCTCACGCTGACCCGCTATCTCCTGACCTCAGGCTCCACGTGAAGCCTGTGCAGCTCTGTCTCAGCTGGGGGGCAGGAAGCCAGAGTCTCCCTGCCATAGCTGCAGGTCATGAGAGCAGCACCAGTGCCAGGAACGACACTTCACTTTTGCCTCCAGCTGTCCTGGGAAACTCCCAAACCTGAGCTACTGTCAGTGATAGCACTAGCCCAGAGGCACGGTAAGGGCGTGTGGTTTCCTGCTCCGGTCATTATGGGCAGTAAGGTGGAGCCACAGGACAAAACTCTTTTTTTTTTTTTTTAATATTTATTTATTTATTTATTTATTTATTTATTTATTTATTTATTTATTGTGTGTGTGGCCAGCTCAGCCCACCAGGGGGCAGGGCTGGCTGGTATGTGGTGCTGGGGGATTGAACCGCGGTCCCTGTGCTTTGCTTAGCTTAGCTCAGCTTGTTTTAAGTAGGTGCTTTAGACCACTGAGCCATCTCACCAGCCCCGACAAAACTCTTCTGTGCTGCAGTTGGGGCCGGAGAGTTCCCCAGACCTTAGAACGGGGCACTCGGTGGGGCACAGCACACTGGTCCTGCAGATAGAGCATCACTTCCCCAACGAAAGGGAACAGGACACAGGAGCACGAATGCCATCGCTCACAGCAACACAGCTCTCAAGATTTCTTCTGGGGCAGAGCAGGAGTCACAGCCACAGCCTTGCCCTGGGCCGCTGCACGGACCAGTGCGCCTTTCTGCGCAGCGGCCCCTCCTCTGCAGGTGCCCTGGACACACTCCTAACCTCTCTGCTCCACTGCTGCCCCCTCACACCTCCAACAGGGCTGATGGCCAGGGGCGTGTCTAGGCATTTCCCTGAAAGCCGTCCACCATCAACCCCATCAACACTTGGAACACAAACCCTTTTTCTTGTTTGTATTACAGTGTGGCAGTTAACAGCAGTTTAGGGACGAATGTAATTTTTGTATTGTGGTAGATTCTGCTTAATGATGGGCCTTAAGAACCTGGGATCCTGAGTTCAGTCTCCTGGGGGCTCCCAAGAAGGCAGCTTCCATAGCCCCATGTCCAGCCCTAGAATCTGACGGGGTGGGAAAGCCCAGACCTGTGCTTTGAGCAGCACTTGTATCAGGAGAACCCGCAGGAAATGCTCCCTACAACCTCTTGGTAGAAGGAGTCCTCTTCTTTTAGGCATCTACAAAGGCCACTCCTATTTTTACTACACTGAGGAAGTCACATGGATTGAACTTTCGATGGCTTTCCACCCCAGTGCCTCTGTGATATCAGTATCACCACGGCCTGGGACCAACAACCCGAAAGGAATCCTAGAGAACATGGTGCTTGGGCCCTGGACGGAAGTCTGAGCGGAGAGAAGCACTTCAGACCGCATTGGGGGGGCGGGGCGCGGAGAAGCAACGCAGCCTGGGTGTCCGCACTTGGCTTTCTTACAAGGCTTCTCAGGGTCTGCACCACCACAGTGGGAGGATGAGGGGCGGCACAGCTCCTGCGTAGGTGTCAACGCCTCCTCCCTCTGGCAGACAGGAGCCTCTGCCCACGGATGTGGCTTGTGGACAGGAGGGGCTGACCTCCGGGGGCCACCGCTCTAGTGGAGCCGAATGCACCTGAGATGCAGACTCACCAGCAGGGGGTTGTATGCACCACAAGCCCCGAACGTATGCTCATCTCTCAGGTACACGGGACGCAGCATCAGCCTCTCTAGCATGGACACATTCAGCCCATAGGCCATGGCCAGCCTGGACTTGATGACTGGGCCAAGCTGCATGGGGTCTCCAGCAAGAACCACCTGTGGCACAGGGTGTTAGGGCACACAGCCCCACACCAGAAGGAAGCAATTGAGGCTAACAGCTAGCCTCTCCCGCAGGTTAGGGGTGTTATGCAAGCGGGGACCCCATGGGGACAAGGCAAGAGGCCAAGAGGCCTGCACAGATGCAATGACCATGGCTTGGGCAGCCCCATGGAGACTAAAATGGCCTGCACCCTGACACAGTAGCTCTGCCTGCCTCTCCCTGCAGCCCTTTCCTCTTCCCATATCCTGTACACAGCTTTCTCTCCTACCTACCAACCTGCCATAGTGGGAAGGGACCTATGTCCTAGAAGCTTCATTTGCGCCTGGTGTTAGGAAGCCACTCCCAGCCTTCTTCTGAGGCCCTATCCTGGTGGAGGCCCCGCACATAACCACCTCAAATTGCCTGTCCCTTGTTGCCAAGGCCACATGCTCCACCTCAGCCAGTCCTCATCCCTCCTTGCCCTCCTCATGCTCTGCCTCACAAAGACTGGTGACCTGGCAGGAGGGTGGGACATGCCCAGAGGAGGCGCCTGCTCCACCAGGAGACAGGGTTAGGGCAGGGGCTTAGGATGAAGTCGGTATCACTGCAGAGGCCCCGAGGCAATGAGGATGGGGCCTGCCAGGGATGCCGAGGGGCCCGAACCTAAGTGCAGAGCCTAGAGCAGCCCAGAGACGCACAGGTTAGATCCGGGCAGAGCAGGAAGCCTTGTCCTCTCCCTAGCATAGGAGGCTCCTGGGGAGGACAGATCACAGCTGCCGACCTTGCTGCTCCATCCCCAGTACCCAGCTCACTCTTTCTTGGCAAAAGAATCAATCACATAATGGCGTCCTTCTCCTCGCCTTGAGGACTGAGGCTGCGCTCAGTGGCACAGCATGGCCTGTGCTTGCCGGGGCCCTGCTACCTCCACCTGACCCTCTGGTCAGGTGACTGTCCATCGCCATGGAAAACAGGAGCAAGACAGAAACGGCACACACAGCACACAGCCCTGGCCTTACCTGGCCACTGACATCTGAGATCAGCCCCAGGGGAATAAGGCATTCTGGCTCACTCGCCTGCCCGGCCTCATCCACAAACACGTGTGTGAAGTGTCCAACTCTGGAGACAGAGATGTTTGAACAGTAACTCTTAGCACTATTTAGCAATCAATGGCCGACACATTGGAAAGGCCTTGCTTGTGATACGGGTCTCAGCAGGGCCACCAGGGAGGTCAGCACTGGAGTCTGGAGTCGCCTGGCTGGGGGTGAGGTTGGTGGCAGAGCTCCTGGAGCTACTCCAGGCGTGGCAGTTTATGTGGAGGAAGGTGTGAGTGTGGGTGTGAGCGGAGCCTGAGAGCCTGTTGGCAGCTTGGCAGGCTGGAGGCCGCCCTAGCACAGCTGGTCCACACGCTCCTCTTTCCCATTCACCGGCTCCCCCAGCTTTCAGGACCAGCTGCACCCACTACCAAGCCTTGGAATGTGGCCAGTGCCAACTTACAAAGGGTGGTCAAGCAGGAGCTGTGGGCACGGGTGGCGGGGCAGGCGGCTGTGATGGTGTGCCTCCTCCTTCTGCTCACCTTTTAGCTCACACTGAAGTGGCTGTCGGCCTAAGCTCCCAGGATGACAGGCCAAAGGAGTCAGGGTGGTACAGGCCAGCCCTCACCAGCCTGCTTCAAAGTGGCTCTCGAGGCAGCACCAGCACAGTACGAAGTCAGGGTTGGTAACAGGGCAAATGCCTGAACCACACGTGTCTAATGACGACAGACCTTTGGCCTGTGCCTGCATGAGTCTGGTGCCTGTGCTCCCAGCCCTCTGCCCCAGGCGCTGGGTGTATTTCTTCACTTCTGCACTTTGGTACCCCACTGAGATAAGGCCACACGGTCAGACAAGTACCTGCGCTGGGTGAAGGTGCCAGGCTCGGCACCCGCAGGACCTCCGTGCATGTTAGCCCATCTCCCTGCAAGCCCAACTGATAGGGCTCTCAGTCTCTGGTGAGGGCAGTCCCTGCTTAGGGCAGTGCTGGGCTCCCCCTAGTCCTCATTTGCATCTTTGACCCTACGCTTCACCTTGTGAATGCCAAGCTAAGGACCCCACAGAGGATACCAATACCCTTCCCTATGGAAAACAAGACAATGATCTCAATTCCTATTTCCTACCACAGGTCTCAATTTCTGTTGAATACCATTAATATGTATCTTCCCAGAACATAAGCACTGTGCTTTCAAGCCTGTAAAAGGTGCAGGCATTTAAGTCACTTTTCCCAGATGACAGCATCTTCTAAGCTTCCACGGCTCCAGGCCCTGGAGGCCTACTAGGCTCTCGGCATGAGAAGTTCACCCCTAAAAAAAGCTTCTGTAGGGCCACAGCCTGCCCTGGCCCGCCAGTTCCTCCACCCACCTGCATTCTGGCTGGCGCACAAGCTGCCCCTGCCCTGTACCCTGAAGACCAACCTTAAACAAAGGAGTCTGGGGCTGCTCTCGCTGGAAGTTTCTCTACCTCAAGGCCTTTGCTGCAGCATCTAAAGTCCTTTACTGCTGTTTAGGTCTGCAGTGCCCAACACTGTAGTGACCAGCCATGCACTAGGCTCCAGGGCACCTTGTGCTGGCTAGTCTGAAACGATGGGCTCTAAGTGCAAGATACACAGGACATTTTCAAGACTTGGACCAAAAACTGTAAACTATCTTATCATTCATTTTTATACTGATCACACCATGAAATGGTGCTCTGTAAATACGAAAGGGACTAAAACAGACATGAAACGATTTGTAGCCCATGAGATGCCAGTGTGGCTGGCTGTACGCTGCTCTGGGTGGAGTCTGTAGTGAGGCAGGTGACGTGTGCCAGTCACCCATACGACCGCTGCAAGGGAACCCTGCCAGAGTGGGGGGCCTGTTCTCAGCAGGTCCTGCTTCTCCCCAGCCTGGCTCTTGTCCTGCCTGCTACCTTCCTTCACCTCCTGCACCCAGTGTGAATGCGCTTCTCACCTCCTCCACAGGTCCAGCCCTTCCTCTGGCTCTACGGGCCTGAGGGCACCCTCCATGCTGCCATCTCCCCTGCAGAGCGCTACACAAGGGGCACAAGTGTCTTCTAGGCTGCAGCCTTCCACAGCACTGCACACGATGTACCCGTGGGAGGCCTTGCGCACACTTCCCAGGAAGCCGAACCGGGAGGCACACCCACGTCTGACCAGAGTAACTCTTCCAGCTCCCGCACTGCCGTCCCTCTTGATCCTGAGGCTCTCGTCCTGCAGTGTACTCTGGGCAAAGATGCCAGGCTCCGCACCCCAGGACCTCTGCGTGTTAGCCCATCTCCCTGCCAGCCCCGCTCATGGGCCTCTGCGTCTCTGGGACCTTGGCCAGAACCCGTCCCGTACTGCCCACCGCTCTTACCCACAGGCCCTCCCTGCCTGCCTCTCAGCCTCTCCACGTGTGGGCAGGAAGAGGACACAGACCTCTGTCCTAGAGACCCTGTGGCCCCTGTGCCAGCGCTCACCGTACTCCGATCTGATAGAACAGCCCCGCACTGCTGCACGTTGTGATTATTATCCGGAAGCGGGAGGCTCTCCAGATATCTTCCCCATCTCTGCAATACGGTTTGATGGCATCAATGATGGTCTGGGGCAAAGAGTGTGGAGTGAGTCTGGTTTTCAAAGTAATTATTTCATTAAATTGGCTAGAATAACAAAGCTGAAAGGAATTCTAAAAGATAATCTTGTCCTTTGTTACTTCTTAAGACTAACGATATTTTACTTATTTTGAGACAAGGTCTCACTATGTAGCTCAGGCTGGCCTTGAACTCATGGTGATCCTTTTCTGCCTGTCTCCCGAGTGCTGGGATTACAGGTGTGTGCCACCATACCCGGCAGGAATGATGATTTCATATATATATTTAAAAATTTTAAGATATTTGCATTTCATTATCAATTTAGTCTATGTTTTGTGGACTCTACAGCCATAAGTGTAATCCTGAGGATCTTTCCAGGAAACAGCTTTCATACATTTTCTAGTCTCCATCTCTTTTTTAAAAAAATGTATTTAGCACAGGGGCCACAGGGCCTCACTACACAGATTGGACTCGTAGTGACCCTCCTGTAGTCAGCCTCCCAAGTGCATGCCACTGCGTCTAGTCTCCATTACTATCTCAGTGGGCAACAGGGTGGGGCCGGCACGGCATGCTGGGGATCGAACCTTGGCCCTTGTGTCTGCCTAAGCAGTCAATCTCTTTTTTAAGCAATACTTACTTTCTTTCTTTCTTTCTTTCTTTCTTTCTTTCTTTCTTTCTTTTTTAGAAAGGGTCTACAGCATGTTCAGGGTCTCACTACTAGATCAGACTTACAGTGATCCGCCTGCTTTACAGCCTCCCAAGAGCTGGGATTACAGGCATGCACCAACACACCCAGTCTCAATTGCCATCTCAGGGCACTCTGAGGGCGGGCCTGGCATGGCAGGCCTGGGGATCGAACCCCTAGTTCCACGCCTGCTTGCAGGCACTGTAATCCGCTCAGCTACTTGGCTGGCCCTTAAGCAATACTTTCTTCCAGGAAAGTATTACTAACCAGGAACCTGTAATTTCCCTAAAGGTTTTCTCATAATCAATAAAACAGAACTAAAAAGAAACCATATATTTGAGCATCAAATAAAAAGGAATATGAGAATTTAAAAAGCTTAGACTGTTCCCAACAGGACTGATAGCCACAGAGTGAGCAAGGTAACGCAGTGAACGAAGACTGAGACCCCACTTATAACTGGGCTGTAGCGCAGAGCAGAGCAGAGCAGCTTCTTCTCCCCGAGGACTCCCTGGAATGGCCTAGTGCTCCCACCTGCTGTCTCCTGCTCACACACATGCACTCGCTGGAGACGGAGCCGTGGTGCCCAGCCACGCCCGGGACTCACCTCCTCAAACCTGCAGGTGGCATTCACCCGGACCATGGAGGCAGGCCTTAGCACCTTGCTCTCATGCAGCCGTAAGCACACAAGGTCAGCAGCGCTGTTGGAAGGGGCACAGACCAAGATGCGGCTGTCCTGCAGAGCGTGATGCACCTTTGTTCAAGATATAAGAGAGAGAGACCAAGGGTAACCACCAACTGCAAAGCAGCATCTGACACGCACAGGCTCATTTACAGGGCTCAAGGCAAGGGTCAGATGCTAGGCCTGGGGGCCGGGGAGATGGCTCAGTAGAGTAAGCGCTTCCTTGGCAAGTGCAAGGGCCTGAGTTCAATCCTCAGTTCCGGGAAAAAAAAAAAAAAAAAAAAGATGCTAGGCCTGAATGCCTCCGAGAACGGCCCTGCGACATCAAGGTGATGTTCTAAGACAAGCAGTTAGAAGGCAGGGTTCTCTACTCTCCAACACTCTAAACCCATCTCTAGCCCCAGTCCCATCACACTCTCAGGGGTCCAGTTTGCAGGTACTCAAAGGGTGCTTTCTAGTTAGAATCTTGAATGATACAGAAATATGCAATGTATAATGTTTCTGTAAATTTAACTTGAAAAATCAAAGGAAATCCCAGCAACGTCTGTAGACTGGTGATTTTAACCACTGTCAAGATAACTTTTTTTTTTTAAATGTTTTTTTAAATTTTATTTATGTGTGTGTGTGCATGTGTGTGTGTGTGTGTGTGGCCAGCTCAGCCCACCAGGGGGCGGGCTGGCTGGCATGTGGTGCTGGGGGATCGAACCGCAGTCCCTGTGCTTTGCTAAGCTTGTTCTAAGTAGGTGCTTTAGACCACTGAGCCATCTCACCAGCCCCTGTCAAGATAACTTCTGCAGCAAAACGTCAGGATGCAATCGAATGGCTTCTTATTCTGAAGATGAAGAGTTCCCTTCTACAGCTAGGAAATAAGCTTTTAAGATCCTACATTCACATAAACATCCCAAATGAGGTAAACGGACTTCCCGGGCGCTTTGACATTTTGACTACAACGAGGCGGAGGATCCCTGTGGGTTCAGGGAAGGACACAGCAGAGCCAGCACGGTACTGCAGCCAGCACCACTGCTGCCCTTACCTGCAACACAGCCTCGATTATGGTCATGGTCTTTCCAGTTCCAGGAGGGCCAAAAAGAATATATGGGAGCGGGCGGCAGTCACCACTCAGAATTCTTCTAACTGCAAGCTTCTGATTTTCATTCAACAGCGCATTGAAAAACTCCGTATCTCTTCCTTTAGGAGCATGCGTTTCACCTACTGTATCCAATGGGGAGAAAGTTTAGTTAGAGGCTGGACAGCTCTGCAGCTGCAGGACACACTCTTGCTTGGTCAGAAGGCTGAAAGACAACCACCTCTACAGTGAGAACACTGTGCAGACATGAGCGTGGCATAATCCTGTCAGGTCTCGTGGGTCAGGAAATCCAACAGCCTTTAAGAGGGAAGAAAAGGCTATTTGATATTCTATTTTACTTTTTAGATACAGCATCATCTAAAACACGAGAGACAGGATTTAAAGATGTCTACAAGCCAAAGCAGTGAACATGCCTATAGCTCTAGTGACTCGGGGCTAAGGGTGGGGACAGTCACTTGGTTCTAGGAATCTGACACTAACATTGACAACACAGTTGACAGCTTGTCCCACACAAGCCAGCCAACCAACCAGACAGGCACTGCCAAAAACCAACCCAAATCTGAGTTTTCCAACCCACCTAAAGCAATGAGTCTCCTCTGGAGTAGTCAGGAGAAGGCAAAGGCCCTTTCGCCCCCTCTGAGCTTCTGTCAGAGACAAGGTCCCAACCACAGCCTGGTTCTCCAGAACCTACTTTCACTTTCAGGCCTGCGTCCTCTTAGCCGCCCTCCTCCTTCCACGTACCCAAGGCACTCATCTCTGCAGCAGAAGTCACCATCCCTGGCAGGTCCTTGGCGCCAACACCTTTCTCCTTTGTTGAATGTCTAGTTTGGTTCTTCATGGTTTTAATGTTCTAAAAGAGATCACACAGAGCATGGTTTCAAGAAACAGGGGGCCGGGGAGATGGCTAGTGGAGTAAGTGCTTCCCTGGCAAGCGCAAGAGCCTGAGTTCAATCCCCGGTTCAAAAAAAAAAAAAAAAAAAAAAGGATAGAACGAGCTTTGTGTATACCAGTTTAGTCTGAAGAACAAACATAAACATTTACCAATATTCTGCTGTTGCACTTAGCGGCCCCTGGGGTGGGTGTCAGGTCACATCTTACGGAGCATAATAAAAACACAGGATATCTGACAAAAAGCTTTCATAAAGTTTATGCTTCATGTTTGACCCCCCCCCCCCCCGCCCCGGGTCTCACTACACAGCTCAGACTCCTAGTGATCCTCCTGATTTCTGCCTCCCTAGTGCTGGGATTACAGGTGTGCACCACCATGCCCGGACTCCATCGTTGGCTCAGCAGGCCCAGGGGTGGGGCCGACAGGGCATGTGGTGCTAGGGATCAAACCCTGGCTCCTGCACTTACCTAAGCAAGTGCTTAGTCTGCTGAACTATATGGCTGGCTCTTAAACTCTTTTACAAGGACACATAAAGAAATTTTGTGTTGAAGAAACCAAAACAGAGAACTAGATTATAACTAAACCATCATTCCTCTTACAAGGCTGGCCTGTGCGTGAGGCCTCTCCTGAGCGGGCGAACTCTGTTGGCAGCCTCTCTTGAGTACTTTCTGGAAGGTATAACAGCCAGAACATCCCTCTCACTCTCCCAACTACACAGAAGCTGGTTTTGCCAGGCATGGTAGCACACACCCGTAATCCTAGTACTTGGGAGGCTGAGGCAGAGGGATCACTGTGAGTTTGATGCCAACCTGAATTAGAGAGTGAGACCCTGTCTTAAAAAAAAAGCTGGTTTTATTAATGTATTTACACATAGGTGAAATCTGGCCTGGACAGATGGAGCTGTTTTTCACTTCTCTCCACCGCAATTTGTAATTTGCAGCTTTACACATATATCTTTTTGCAATCCCTCAATGCCTTTCAGGGCATAAATTCTATAATACATAAACTTGCTAAAAGCTTCCTCTTGAAAGCTTCCTCTCGAAAGCTGGGCGTGATTGCACACACCTGTAACCTCAGCACTGGGAGGCTGAAGCAGAAGGATCATGAGTTTGAGGCAAGTTTGAGCTACAAGTAAGACCCTGTCTCAAAAAATTTTGACCATACTTAAACTGTACAATTTTTTGGTCAGAACTCACTGTAAAATACATTACAACGAGTACTTATATGGAGCTTATACTGTATCAGTCATTATAAGTCATGTAAAGAAGTACACAGGCAGATGTGTGCATGTCAGACACAATGCTACGTGATGTTTTCTTTCTTTTTTTTGTCTTTTGGAGACAGGGTCTCGCTATGCAGTTCAGGCTGGCTTTGCGCTCACTTTTTAGCTCAGGCTGGTCTCAAAACTTGCAACAAACCTCTTGCCTCAGCCTCCTGAGTACCAGAATTACAGGCATGAAATTACAGGCATATGCCACCACACCTGGCTAAATACTATGTGATTTTATGTAAGGGACTCGAGAATCCACGAATTGTGGTGTGCCTGGGGAGGGGGTGAGACTCCGAAACCAATCTCCCATCAATACTAAGGGAAAACAGTAGGTATGCCTTTATTTTTCATCCAATCTGACAATGTCTACCTTTTAATTTTAGTGTTTTGAGCATTTAATGTAATGTGATTACTGAGACAGATTGAAATCTATTACCTTGTTACCCATTTCCTGTATTTTATTTGCTCTAGGGACAAAATCACAGGGACAGATTTCAATACCCCTTTCTCAGTAACTACACCAGAGGACAGAATATTAGTAAGGTTACAGATGCTTCAACAGCAGTCCCTACTTTTCTCTCTCTTTTTTTTTTAATCATCCATAAAAGCTGTAATTTAATCTGACAGTAAAACACAAGAAGCAATATTAGAGGTGGTTTAGTATATTATATATTTTAGCTTTTTTTAAAAAAATATTTATTTATTTATTTAGTGTGTGTGTGGCCAGCTCAGCCCACCAGGGGGCAGGCCTGGCTAGCATGTGGTGCCGGGGATTGAACCGCGGTCCCTGTGTTTTGCTTAGCTTAGCTCGTTCTAAGTAGGTGCTTTAGACCACTGAGCCATCTCACCAGCCCCCTATATTTTAGCTTTGAAAGCCATAGAAATCAGTTATCCCAGTTTTTTCCTATAAAAGACCCATTTTTCCAAAGCATTATGCACAATTTTAATTAGAATATGACAGATGATGTTTCATAATTTTTAAATATA